CAAAAAAAAAGAATTTCAGGGCACCTGGGAGCTGGGAGCTCACACCTAAAATCCTAGCTACTCAGGAGGCTGAGATCTGAGAATCATGGTTCAAAGCCAGCCCCAGCAGGAAGGAAAGTGGTTGAGACTTATCTGCAAGTAGTGCTGTGGCTCAATGGTAGAACACTAGCCTTCAGCTCAGGGACAGTGCTCAGGCCCTGAGTTCAAGCCCCACATCTGACACACACACACACACACACACACACACACACACACACACACACACACAAAATCAGAGCATAAATTTCCAACCATTCTACTTCTTCCAGTTTCTGCTAAGACATAAGTTGAATCTACTTTACGTTGGAATGATTTCTTCTTTTCCTATCTTTAAATGCCCTGGTTCCATTTTCCCGAAATATAGCTAGTAACTTTGACTTATACTTTTTCCATGCAGAATCAATCCTCGAAAAACATCTACTGGGGCTGGGAAGGTGGCTCCGTGGTAGAGTGATTGCCTTGCATGCACAAGGCCCTGGGTTCAATTCCTCAGCACCATATAAGCAAAAAAAGCCAGAAATGCTGCCATGGCTCAAGTGGTAGAGCACTAGCCTTGAGCTGAAGAGCTGAGGGACAGAGCCCAGGACCAGAGTTCAGGCCCCACAACTGACAAAAAAAAGAAAGAAAGAAAGGAAAAGGAAAAAAAGAAAAACATCTACTGGGGAGTGTTGTAGCTCTCACACCTGTAATCCTAGCTACTCAGGAGTCTGAGATCTAAGGAATTTGGTTCAAAGCCAGCCTGGGCAGGAAACCACTCAGAAAATCGGAAGTGGTGCTGTGGCTCAAGTGGTAGAGTGCTCGCCTTGAGCTGAAGAGCTGAGGGGTAGCGCCCAGGCCCAGAGTTCAAGCTCCACAACTGACAGAAAAGAAGGAAAGAAGGAACAAAGGAAGGAGAAAAGAAAGAAAGACAAGGAAGAAAAACATGTACTTTTCAGACACAGGAAACTCTTACTAGGATTTCAGATAAGAATACCAAGTTTCCAATGGGAAAATGATGCAACTAGAAAAGGTAATGGACTAGGAGTATAGCTCAGTGATAGAGTGTGTACTTTGTATGAGACAAGGCCCCGGGTTCAATCCTCAGCACCAAGGAAAGTAGTTGGATGTGCTCAGAATAAGCACACTAGCTTAACTACACACAGGGTTGTATATCCGTGGCTTCTTCCCATTCATGTTAGCCAGTTTTCCATTACTATAACAAAGACCTTACTCATCTTAAAAAGAAAAAAGATTTTTGGTTCAAAATTTCAATGGAAGCCGGGAGCCAGTGGCTCATGCCTGTAATCCTAGCGACTCAGGGAGTTGAGACCTGAGGATCTCAGTTCAAAACCAGCCCTGACAAGGAAAGTTCCCAGTAGACTCTTCTCTCCAATAAATCACTCAGAAAACCAGTAGTGGAGCTGTGGCTCAAGTGCTAGCCTTGAGCTGAGGGACAGAGCCCAGGCCCAGAGTTCAAGCCCCACAACCGACAAAAAAAACAAAAACAAAATTTTTTTCACTGTTCTAGTCCACAGCATGCTGCTTTGGAGCCTACAGAAAGGCATGATTGGAAGCACTTGGAAAAGCTGCTTATAGGGACTGGGAAGGTGGCTCAGTGATAGAGTGCTTCCTTGCATGCATGAGGCCCTGGGTTCGATTCCCCAGCACCACATAAGCAAAAAGAAAAAAAGACAGAAGTGGGGCTGTGGCTCAAGTGGTAGAGTGCTAGCCTTGAGCTGAAGAGCTAAGTGACAATGTCCAGGCCCAGAGTTCAAGCCCCACAACAACCCCCCCCCAAAAAAAAAAGAAAAGAAAAGCTGCTTATGGCAGAATGGCCAGGAAATGGAGGCAGTAAGAGGCAACTGTCCCAATATCTGCTTCAAGGGCAATCCCCAAGTCCAAATTCCTTACTTGGCTCCACCACTTGCCAAAAGAGCCACAGGACAGGGACCATGCCTTTAGGAGACACTTATCTAAACCATAACACCATTCCTCATGACCACCAAAGAAAAGAAAGAAAGAAAGGAGAGAGGAGGATGGGGCTGGGAAGGTGGCTCAGTGGTAGAATGCTTGACTTGCATGCATGAGGCCCTGGGTTCGATTCCTCAGCACCACATAAGCAAAAAGAAAAAAGCCAGAAGTGGCGCTGTGGCTCAAGTGGTAGAGCACTAGCCTTGAGCTGAAGAGCTGAGGGACAGTGTCCAGGCCCAGAGTTCAGGCCCCACAACCGGACCCAAGAAAGAAAGATCCTCAACATTTCTCATTTCATTTAATCCTCACAATCAGGGTAACTATTTTCATCTTTTTAAAGTTGTCTAGGCTGCAGTTTAGGAAAACCATGTTCAAAAATCCCATCACTAATAAAAGTTCCAGCGATAAGCCAGGTACCAGTAATTCACCTCTATTTATCCTAGCTACTCAGGAGACTGAAATCTGAGGATCGAGGTTTGAAACCAGACCAGGCAGAAAAGTCTATGAGACTTTTACCTCCAATTCACCCAGCAAAATATGGAAGTGTGGCTCAAGTGGTAGAGTGCCAGCCTTGAGGGGAAAAAGGCCAAGAGACGGCGTGAGGCCATTCAGTGCTGCCTTTCACAGTCACTCCATTTCTCAGAACTTCAAGATTGTGTTGCTGTCATTTGTACCTTAAAGAACACTGCCTTGATTTGTTCTGAGGTTGACCTCCAAGAATCCTTCTGCTGTGCTTAGAACACTGATCACTGGCACATCCATAAGGGAGGCTTATCCCTCCAATAACCAGCACCCACTAGCCATCCCCCAAAGTGAAGAAATGAGGTTAGGAAACGAGGGCACAGCGGAGTTTGTCTACTCGACCAGTGTTGAAGGCAAGTCATAGAAAAGTTAAAAGAATCAGCCCCAAGTCTCTCCCATCACCAATTCAAACTCAGTTCACCTGATCTGGGACTCCTCCCCAAGAGACTCACCTGGCGACCACATCAAAGCTCCCACACTTCTAGTATTCACCTGAGGGGGGAGCACAGAGGTGAACCACGGCGATCAAACAGCCGTCGCGACCGACGGACGGTGTCTGGCACCAGCAGTTCGGACCCCAGCGCCAGAGGACAGGGCCCGGAGACGCAGGGCCGGCCAGGGTGGGGTTGGAAAAGCCACGGCGCTTCTAGAAGGAGCCACCCTCGGCGCCAGCCCGGTACCAGAGCGGCAGGCGAGCGCTACGTGGCTCGTGGGCAAGACCGGACAGAAACGAACACACCAGAAAAACGTCCGGAACCCGAGGTCCAGGCCGTGCGAGTTCGGTCCTCAAGTTTCGGCCACACTCGGCGGCTCCCATCCCGCCGCGGCGGCTCCCGAGGAAGTGGACGGTCCTCGGGAGGGAGGCCCGGAAGCGCAGGAAGGGGAAGCGGTGGCCATTTGTGGGAAAGGGAAGAAGCGACCGGAGAACAGGCTGGGGCGCCGCCCCCCGTCTTCTCCTTCCCGGGTCAGCAGGGCCCCCCACCCCCCACGGCTTCCCCAGGGGTCCCAACGCCAAGGGGGGAGGGGGAGGGCCGCAGCCCGGGCGTCGCCCTCCGCCGGCCCCCTCGGAGCGACGCGCCCCGCGGCTGCCCGCCCGGGACACAGGCCGTCCGCGCGCCAACTTCTCCATCAGTCCTTGCCCCACCCCCGTCCAGAGGGGGCCTCGGCCCCGCGTGGCGCCCTTACCTGAGACCCGTCCCGCGCCGCCTCGGCCGTCCGCCCCAGGCCGGCAGCTCTTAAATGCGCCCCGCCCACTCCCGCGGCCGGAGCCTGGCCGTCCCCAGCCGATTTGTCGTTGAGCAGCCCGGGATCGCTACTCCACCCCCTAACCCCCCCCTCCCCCCGCAAGCGCGCCCCCGACGTCGTCCAGGCAACCCCTCCTTTCGGGGGCGCGCCCTCCCTTCCGCCCTCGCCCGTCCTCCCCTAGAGGCCACGCCCAGGTAAGGCAAACCAAACCAATCTAAACGAGGCCTTCCAAGCCACAGGGGGCGGAGGAAGAAGCTTCGCCAATGAGAACCCGCCTCTGGCGGAGGGGCGGTTCCAGACAAGCCGGCCCCGCCCCCCTCCGATGCCTTCAGTCCGAGAGAGAGGCGCGCCGCACGTGACCACCGCTGCAGAGGAGAAAGCTGGAGCTGGTCTGGGGACGCCGGGCGTGGGCGGGGGAGCGGCGCTCGCTCGGATCGTGGGATGTAGGCCAGGGCGAGGCTGAAGTTGAGAAAAGTGAAAGGGAAGGACTGACCTGATGGACCAACACCGAGGGAGGGGGCGAAGTGGCCCTGTGTGCTCACGCACGGGTGTGGCCGGGGGCCTGGCAGCTCGGGGCGCCCGCGCTTCCCCTCCGAGCCCGCCACCCCTCGCTGGTCTAATGACATCCCATTAGCAGTAATAAAGTGACCTAAGCTGTAACTGGACCCAGGTCACGCACTAGGTCTCGAACCCTCACTGTCGTAGCCTGAGGCAGAAAGTAGGGGGGGCGGGAAAGCCCTGGGGGAAAGAGCTAGCTGAGAATGAGGGAAGGGGGTGACACTGTTGGAAAGGAACTGTACTCATTACCAGACTTAAGTAACTGCAACCCCTCTGTACACCACCTTTACGGTAAGTATTTTACAAGCTGCCCCTCCCTCACCCTCGGAATCCCAGGGTCGTGTAATTTTCTATCCATGCCACAATCCAAATAGGGTTAGCCTAGGTTGATTTCCCCACCATCCCCTCCTTTCTAGAGCTAAACCCCACACAGATACCACTATACAAAGCTCATGGCTTGGGCTGGGAAGGTGTCTCAGTGGAAGAGCGCTTGCCTTGCGCAAGTGCATGAGGCCCTGGGTTCGATTCCTTAGCACCACGTAATTAGAAAAAAGCTGGAGGTGGTGCTATGGCTCAAGTGGTAGAGCGCTAGCCTTGAGCTGAAGAGCTGAGGGACAGTGCCCAGACCCAGAGTTCAGGCCCCACGACCCTTAAACAAACAAACAAAAAAAGCTCATGGCTTGTATCACAGTAAATAGTTCAAATGTTTGCCTCTAATCTCTAGGAAAGGGAACCCTCTCTTCTTCATTGTGATACAGCAGCTAGCACTGTGTAATTCTTATAAACTAGAACAGGCATGTGTTTTATCAAAGGCTTTGTGGTTTGATTACCTTGCTACATAACAATTAACAGACTGACACCTCCTGGATCACATCTAGCTGGGATGGGAATCTCCAGCCTGGAGGGCCATAGAGGGCCCTAGACACTTTGTCTTTCTAAAAGGCCTTATTAATTGGGAGAGGGGTTTGTCAGAATGGAGACAATTTAAGGACCCACAGGGCTTTTTCTGTTCTAGGTAGGGGCTCCATCACAGGAGCCATACCTCCAGTTCTGTTCTCTTGGTTGGAGATAAGAGTTGTAAGGATTTATCTTCCTTTAGCTAGGAACTTTGATCCTCTGATGGTAGTCCCTTGAGGTAGGACTAAAAGTATGACCCACCAGTGCTTCTGCTCTATACTGATCATTTTGTATGGCTTAACCAAATCTACAAATGGTCCTTGATTTAAAATGGGGGTGGGAGGAGACTGGGAAGGTAACTTAATGATAGAGTGCTTGCCTAGCATACATAGAGCCCTAGGTTCAATTCCTCAGTTAGTAGCACATAAGCAGAAAAAGCCAGAAGTGGTGCTGTGGCTCAAGTGGTAGAGTGCTAGCCTTGAGCAAAAGAAGCTCAGGGACAGTGCCCAGGCCTTGAATTCCAGCCCCAGCCCCAGGACTGGCAAAACACACAGACACACACACACACACGCACACACGGGGAGAGAAGATAAGAGATATAGGCCAGCAGAAGCAGAAACGTTTGCTAAACTCCATCTCCATATTAGCCAGCAAAACTCAAGGTTGAAGGTATGATGCAAACGGCAGAACACCAGCCTAGCAAAGCACTAATTCCTGAGTTCAAACTTCAATGCCATCAAAAAAAGAAAGAAAGGAAAGAAAAGAAAAGAAAAAAGGATGGACTTGAAGCCTGAGACTTAAACCTTTGTTGTTTAAAGATACAAAGTATATTGGTCAGCATTGTATTAATTAGTACAATAAAATACATTACTACCTATGGCAGTTAGCTTCTCCAGATAATAGGGTTAAGCCAGGCGCCAGTGGCTCACGCCTGTAATCCTAGTTACTCCACAGGCTGAAATCTGAGGATTGTAGCTCAAAGCCAGCCTGGGCAGGAAAGTCTGTGAGACTCTTCAATTAACCACTAGAAAATCAGAAGTGATGCTGTGGCTCAAGTAGTAGAGCATTTGCCTTGAGCTGAAGAATGCAAGGACAGTGCCCAAGCCCAGACTTCAAGCCCCACGCCAGACCAAAAAAAGGGAGGGGGTATTTAAATCAGTTTTGGAAGTTCAAAGTCCAAGACTGGGTTGAGGGGCACTGTTTTGCCCTCTAGTGAGGGTGGCAAACAGTGGCACATCATGTCAGAATGATCATACCAAGAACAGAAAGAAACAGAGAAAGAAAGAAATGGAGGAGGGAGAAAAGAAGGATGGAAAGAAGGAAGGAAAGAAGGAAGGGAGAGAAGGAAAACAGGAGAGCAAACAGAAAAATCTGCAGTACGAACTTCACTCCAAGGAACACCCCTCCACCACCCCCAGTGACCTCAAGACCATCCCATTGGGCCCTACCCTTTGAAGATCCCACTATCTCTCAGCTCCACCCTGGAGACCGGGACTTCAATCACAGTGGACTTTTGTTGTTGTTGGTCATAGGGTCATGTTGAACTTTGGGCTTCAGCTCCTCACCTCATGGCTAGCATTCTACCACTTGAGCCACAGTACCACCTCCAGTTGTCTGAGTGGTTTATTGAAGATTAGAATCTCATGGGCTTTCCTGCCCAGACTGGCTTTGAACTGTGATCCTCAGATCTCAGCCTCCTGCGTAGCTAGGATTTACAGGCATGAGCCACCAGCACCCAGCCTTTGTGTGTGTGTGTGTGTGTGTGTGTGAGTCATGGGGCTTGAACTCAGGGCCTGGTTGCTGTCCCTGAGATTTTCTGCTCAAGGCTAGTGCTCTACCACTTGAGCCACAGCGCCACTTCTGAATTTTTCTGTTTATGTGGTACTGAGGAATCATACCCAGGGCTTCATGCATGCAAGGCAAGCACTCTACCACTAAGCCACCTTCCCAGTGGACTTTTGATGGCACTCAAATCACCACACCAAAATGACAACACTAGGATTGGAAAGTTGTTCTGACTGATACAAAGCCCAACTGTGTGCAAAGTATAGTGCTGGGAATGGGAGTGAACAACTTAGTTAAGAGAACAGTGCACCGATAATCTAATAGGCAGCTCAGCAATTCAAGCTGTGACTTAACAAATTGCTTTAGATTGAATAGTTAAAAAACTCCTAAGAGGTAGCATTTAAACTAGGACCTGAAGAATGAGGAGAAATGAACCTTGACCAAAGCTAAGAGTAAGGGAGAGAACAGGAGAATGCTTCAGACAAATGAACCAGCCTGTCCAAACTCCAGAGACAGGAGAAAGGGAAAAAAGAAAAAAAAAAGTACTGAAAACAGGCTGGAGGCCTATTATGAGCAGGGAAGAGTGAGCCGTGCACAGCTGAAAGAAGGAGGCGGAAGCCAGATTGTGCTGGAGCTTCTCAGTTCTGATAAGAAGGTTGGAAGCTAGGCGCCAGTGGCTCAAGCCTGTAATCCTAGCTACTCAGGAGGCTGAAATCCTAGCTACTCAGTTCAAAGCCAGCCAAGGCAGGAAAGTTCATGAGACTCTTATCTCCAATTAACCACCAGAAAACCAGAAATGGTGCTTTGGCTCAAGTAGTAGAGCACTCCTTTTGATCTGAAGAGCTCAGGGACAGCACGCAGACCCCATTACCAACACAAAAAAAGAAAAAGAAGGTTGGAAATTAGTATGACACTGACCCACTCTCAGCCAGGTGCCTATGTCTCATGCCTGTAACCCTAGCTACTCAAGAGGTTGAGATCTGATGATCAGGGTTCTAGTCCAGCCTGGGCAAACAAATAGGGGATACTCTTATCTCCAGTTAACCAGAAAAAAAGCCAGAAGTGGAGTTGTGGCTCAAGTGATAGAGCACCAGCCTTGAACAATAAAGCTAAACAAAAGGGTAAGGCCCTGAGTTCAAGCCCAGTACACACACACACACACACAATGAATTTGGTTGCCATGTAGAAAGTGGATGGCAAAGAGTAGATGTAGGAATGGAGGTCAATAGGCTGGGAAGGTGGCTCAGTGGTAGAGCGCTTGCCTTGCATGCATGAGGCCCTGGGTTTGATTCCTCAGCACCACATAAGCAGAAAAAGCCTGAAGTGGCACTGTGGCTCAAGTGGTAGAGCACTAGCCTTGACCTGAAGAGTTCAGGCCCCACATCCTAGCACCTGGAGTAGATGCCCAACAGCCAAGCAGGAAGTAGGGGAGGTTGTGGAAGTAGGGGAGGTTGTGGAGAGGAACTGCTGATTTCCTAGAACATCAGACAGCATTAAAGACTGGCTTCCAGGAGCTGGTAAGGTTATATAAATAGATGATATTATTAGAAAGCGCCCAGGCAAGTGCTAAGCTTCTCTGGGGGCATTTGAGACTTGATGACTGCTTCAATTAAAAAAGAAAGGCGGTTGCCAATCTGCAAATGATCTGAGGGTAGAGTCACTACTTCCTACTGATAGCAATAGAAACATTCCAAGCAGCAGAAACAAAATAAATAAATAAATAAAGACAAACTTAATATCTAGATCTAGTACCTAGATTGTTTTTTGTTTTTTTTTCTCAATTTTTAATTGAAAATGTGGTGATCTGGGGTTTACAGT